TACAACGTAGATCATATGAAAATTGATCTACATACACCCTACCTTAAAATTAGAGAATAACAAATATTTATAAATCCTCGCATAGATATTGCTTTTATTTTTGTAAACAAACCCTTACGTATTTGTAATTGAAACTGTAATTCAGATTTTGCTTAAAAGACACAAATCATAATAAATTATCAAAGGATTTGATGCAATATATTATAGTGAATTTAGTTTATCTTCCCAATCTATTTATGCTATAGTAGACAATCCATTAAATAAATGATTCTTAGGATGTATTAAGCATTATATGAATTAATTTTCCAGTGATCTAAAATTTAATACCTATATTCCACAACACAAATCTTCAGTAAAATTACTATAAGGTTTACTTCAATTAATCGTAGTACTTGTACATAACCTTCATAGCTAGCTAGTTACACTTATAAAGATGCTTGAGAGCACCTTTAATATCTATATATTGCATTAACTTGATCACTAGTAGGTTATATAGTAAGACTTCTATAAGTGCACTCTCTATAAGTGCACACCCTCTCTAAATACACATTCAAGTTCTGGCCCAAATATATACTTGACCTTCATAAATGCACTTTTTCTTATTATTCTCTATATGCACATTATAAAAGTATGGTCCCAAGGGCATGCACTTAGAGAGGTCTATAATATAGATTAAACTAGTATGTATTATTCAGTGATAAGGACCTATATTTGAAAGCTTATCTTAAAAACTAATTGGTAAGTAATATTTACAAGCGGAATTAATATAAATAAAAAGATAATAAGCAAACAAAAAGTTTTTAACCATCTTGTTGGCAAAGATTAAGACAATGTTCTTGGGCATTCATACATATATGTAAAAACTTGCAACTATTTGAGTCTTATTTATTTTTTTACTGAAAGCTAATGAGCATGAATTATTGTGGATTATTAAAACTATATGTTTTTTACTATTCATTTATGTGTTCACTTGCAAGTTTCTAGTATTAAACTAATTGTATAAAAAATTTCCAGAAAAAAGTGTACAAGGGCCAATCAAATTCGAGATCTATATGTAGATCATTCTAGAACCCGATTTACTAATTTGGGTATATTTCCTGACTGCAATATGTAAAATAGTTTGTATTAGAAAAATTATGATTTCTTAATAATCACAATATGTGGTTGAGTTAGTTTGCATTAGAATTATTATGGTTTCAATCATGAGTTACTGTAAAAATTTTGCTACAAGCCTTACTATCCATATCTCAATTAATCATTTATTCATTATATGCACTTTGTAGATATTGGTTGATTCTTGAATATGAATAAGAATAACTGGTTGGTTCTATATCTACATTTTAATTTTCACATATTGATTATTTATTTACAGATTAATTATGAATAATGACAATCCTGTTACAATATTAATTATGCAAACTATCAATAATTACAGTTTAGCAATCATTATGAAATTATAAAAAAATAGGATGTCATATAATTAGACATCATAAACTGATTATGAATTCTCATATTTACATGACACAAAGTACATTATGTATATAAAGGGTACATTTGCATGAACGGTCATAATTTTTATTGTAAGAGAAAGGATAATGATAAGAAGGAATGATATTAAAGAGTACATTTTCTGAAACCTACTATATTGCATCATGCTATAATGTAACCTTGTGTTAGTATGTATGCGCACTTTTTCATACTGTGGGCTTTAACAAATATAGCTTCAATTGATTGTGATTATGCATAAACATGATCGCTAACCAGATATCAAATACTGGTATGACTAATGCTAATGCTAACCTGGTTATGCAAAATACAGGAAACCCAAGACATTGCACACTGTTCCTGATATAGGTAGAGACATACAAATAGAGACAAAATTATGTGAACAGGTTGTCCAATCGGAATTAAAAGAGCCACACCACTTAACTTACCTATAAACCATACACTACATACTTCGTACTTTGTTCCTGGTATACTTGACTAGTTTTAATTTAAAAATACATATGCACTTGCTATTAAAACAAAAAAAAAAACACAAAATAATAATTTCGTACATTTCTAAATTGGATAATTTTCGGGTCTGGGTTGACATTCAACCCAAACCCGACCCGGAATTTTCGGGTTGATCCGACCTGATTCGGAGCACTACTTATGATACACTATATTAATATATATAATAAATTAAAGATTTTGTAAATAATATTTTAATTTATTTAATGCAGTTTAAACTAAGATTTTGGGAATGTATATATTATAATTTTGAACAATAAAAATAAGAAATATTATATTCATAACGCCCATGTTATATAACACCTATATAGTCTTAATTAGAGATAGATTAGGGTTAGAGTGTGGATATTAAGAATTTTTTTTTTATACAGTATAATATAATCTAGAGCTAATATATAAGGACCAGATTTCAGTTTTCATGAGGTTTTTGGGGTCCTGTACATTTTTACTTAGAGTACACGATCCCATTTACTTAGTGCGTTTTTGAGATATAGCATAAGGTGTTATATAACATGGTGTTATAAATAAAATTTTCCTAAAAATAAATAGGCCAATTCTATTTTGATCCGGATTAGGGTGTCCAGAATTATGCTGCTAATGATGCTAAATTATGCTTGCTAATTGCACTAAATTATGCTTTTTATGCTAATTTCTTAAAACAGTTTTTTCTAAAAATGTTACGATGCTAAAATCCACATGAACTTTTAATTATCAATTCTAATCCAAATCCTAACCAAACTCTAGAAAAAAGGCAAAAAAAAAAAACCGCCCTAAAAATTTTTAAATTTCATATCAAAATAGGTTCAAATTTCAACATTAGCCTCAGCCGTAACAATCAATAAATTTTACGAATATTTATAATTGTTTGTATTTAATATTAAATATATACTCAAATTATGCTAAATTTATGCCAGCAAATCTAAATTATGCTAAATTCTGCTGCTAGCACAATTATGCTAGCAAACTTGAATTATGCTAAATTATGCTAGTAGCATAATTCTGGACACCCTAATCCGGATTAAAGTGACTCATCATGTGACTATATGCCCAAGAAATTTCAAACTTTGAGCGAAGATATATCAACAACCATCAAACTAAATACAATAAATCTTTTTTTATTTAAATTGGATTCATAGAATTCGAATAAAAAAGTTTTTACCAAATTTAGTCAGATAGTTAGAGAAATCTTCGCTCAAAGTTAAAGAAAAATCAAAACGCCTATAAAATATAAGTTGAAACAAATTTTACTTTAACTTTTATCGAAGATATCTCGACAACTATCAAACCAAATTCGATAAAACTTTTTTTGTTTGAATTATACGGATTCATAGAACTCGGGTAAAAAAAACTTAATCGGATTTAGTAAGGAGGTCACAAAGATATCTTCGCTCAAAGTCAGAAAAAAATCAAAACGCCTATCATAATAGAAGCTGCACTAAATTCATTTTAAAGCTTTGATCGAAGATAACTTGACAACCAACAAACCAAATTCGATAAAACATTTTTTATCTGAATTTTATGGATTTATAGAATTCAATTAAAAATTTGTCATTGAATTAAGTCAGGCGGTTGTCGAGATATCTTTGCTCAAAGTTGAAAAAAAAAACAACCCACCTATCAAAATGCAAATTATTTTAAAAAATTGAGCGAAGATATTTTGACAACCATCAAACCAAATCGGTAAAACTTTTGTATTTGAATCTTATGGATGCATAGAATTTGAATAAAAAAATTTCATCGAATTTAGTCAGGTGGTTTTCGAGATATCTTCGCTCAAATTTATAGAAAAATCAAAATGCTTATCAAAATAGAAGCTATGCCAAAATTCTCTAATTTAAGCAAAGATATCTCGAAAACCACTTGGTTAAATTCAATGAAATTTTTTTTTTCGAATTCTATGAATCCAGAAAATTCAAATAAAAAGCTTTTATCGAATTTGGTTTGATGGGTGTCAAGATATCTTCGTTCAAAATTAAAGATTTGATAGGCGTTTTGATTTTTCTTAAACTTTGAACGAAGAAATCTCGATAGCTACATAACTAAGTTCGATGAATTTTTTTTTATTCGAATTCTTTGAATAAATAGGATTCAAATAAAAAAAAATTTATCAAATTTGATTAGTTGGTTATCGAGATATTTTCGTTCAAAATTTTGAAAATTCTTAGGTATATATATGGTCATGTGATGGGTTACTTTGACCCAGGTCAAAATAGAATTAGCCATAAGTTTTTTCACACATATTAGATTATAAAGTTAATTACAATAATGAATCCGAATATTAAATTGATCAATCTTAAATATCACAATATTTGTGTAAATCCGGTTCCAAACTCTAAATTACCATTAGTAGGGTTTAATATTAAAAATTCACAATGGAGTAACGGCCTGGAATAGTCGAAATTCCAAATAGAGCACTAAATGCATTAAGTACGTACGTATGTATGTATATACTGTTTCATGTGGCTGGTAGTACGTACGTCTAAATGATTTATTTTACGATGCCATAGTAAAATTATTGAAGTACTAGAAGTTGCATGAATGCATTCTACTCTACTATAGCCGGACAAATGTAAAAACGAATGGGAAATAATTCTTACTGGGCGGGTGAAAGATTATATTCTAGCCATTTCATTTCATTTATTTATTATTATTATTATTATTATTATTATTTTTTAAAAAAACAACAAAGACCAGTAATGTTTGACTTTCATGATCATTATATAAACAAAACCCCCTATTCCTATTGAGGAAATTTAAAAAACATTAGCGTTAGATTTTCATCAAAGATTTCCGGAGTCTTTGTTAAATATTTACCGCAGTTTAAAATGTTACACATCACCTTATTTGTATAAAACCTATTTATGCCGTTTTGTGGAAGTAAATAAAGTAAATAAACAAATAAACTGAATATTCTATCATCATGCATTAATTCTGGTATATATAGATAGTACAAAAAAGCATAATATCTACGTACGATGAAAAAAAAGATGAAAATTACCGTAATAGTGTATGCAATCATCGTAATATTAACATTATTACCATCTCCTTCATCCCAACTAAAGCAATTCACGTACAAAGATCCTCAAGCTGGTCTCGATCTTCTTGATGAGGACAAATCCTACGATGGAACAATTATCTTACGTTTCGGAAATCCAATGAAGCAAGTTAATGGAAGCACAACGTGCTGGGATAATACCATTTATCTTCGAATAATTTATCCAAACGCATCAATTAGTTTCCTTTCGATTTCAAATCACGGAATCCCGGATTTTAATTTTTGTTTGGCGAACGGAACCATATTTAGCTATACAACAATGTGGGGATTTGACCAAGGACTTTTGCTTACTTTTTATAATTCTTCAAATGTAACGACTTCGGCAATCATGGGACTTTTTATTACTTTTGAAGGAGCGGTTTTAAGGTCTTTATTTAAATGGTTTAATTATATTAATAAATATTGATAATAATGTTTTTAATAATTGAATTACATAATACAGCACAACAAAATTGCATGATAACCTTATAGACTATGGAGGCATAACAAGTTATTGGCTGGTTGTTCCGAATTCAAGTTCAAGAGATGGATTTTTATTTTACTGTCGCGGTGCGACGGTAATAAGCTGGATACATTTTAATACACCGTAAGTATCTAGTATTGAATAATTATTTAATTAATTGACAAGATTAAAGGTAGAGTTGAAACTAAGGTGGTAATAAATTAAGAATGGAACATAATTGGATACTATAAATTTTAGCTTACAGACAGTCATTTACCAAATAATTCTACAGTACAAACAGAAATCCTATATCTAGTACTACATAATATTTGATTACCACCTTGGATCCCAACATTAATTTGAAATAAGTCATCAACATAACAATAATATATATTTTATTGTAGAAACGAAAATGGAGAAATAATCGAAAGAGCTAGAAGTGGAATATTTCAAACAAACATTAAACTTGTAACAACATCAGCCTTTTACATGCTAGAGAAAGGATTTGCCATAGCTTATGGAGGAGATGATTCCGCGACCAATCTTAATAATTCTATTGTAGACATCAATATTGGTACAACTAACGTAGCATACGTAATATTTTATTATTTTGAACCAGACACACGAACAGGACCATTCTTATTATATCAAATTCCCACTGGAATATTAAAGTCGAATAATACCCAGACGGTAATTCAAACCTTAACATTGCAAGGAATTATATGTAGTGTTGATTTTAGCGGAGCCGGAGATATATGTTTGTTATTATTGAATTCACGACTTAATAAGACCGATAGTAAAAATAATACAACTTCACAACCTATTCAACTTATCTTCTCGAAGATAGCTTTTCTTTCTTCTGGGTAAATAAAATATCATTAATAATACATTAAAAATGGTAAATTATTAATCTTTTTAAATTATAGATCGGTAACACAAATAGGGGATATGAAAAATGGTACTAGTTATGGATATACTATTCAACCTCTTCAATTCGGTGGTTATCTAATGTTAGCGTATAAAGACAATAATATTTTTGGTTATATTCTTGATAATAATGGAGATTTATATGGAAACTGGTCATTACCACAACCTTTAAATAATCCCTTGTATAAAAGTACTTATGTTCTTCTCGCAAATAACTCGGTTGTGTTTGTGGAAAATCAAAATAATTCAATTTGGAGTGTGACATGTGATGATCTATTTAAATTTAATGGCCAAGGTAAAATATTATTTGGTGAATTGCTTTTGTTTTTGAGAGTGACTTATTTAAATATTATAAAATGCGGCTGTATATATATTCTGACTTTTAAGTTTTAACTACTATTTCTATCAATAAAGATAATAAATTCAATAACCCAATCATAACATCAACGAACCCAACACTTGGATCTCAAGTAAACGAATCTACCAAACAACTCTATATATCATTCACTTATCCTGTAACTCTTTCCAGTTCAAATATTTCAATATACCAACATATAAATGGAACAAATCATGACCTATTGCGCCAACGATTTCAAGGTGATTTGCCAAATCAATTCTGCCAGATTGATCCAAATGATAATAAAACTGTTATAATAAATGTATTTCCTAGTACTTTTAATGAACCTAATAGTCTTTATTACGTGGCTATTGAGAATAATTTTGTAAAACGTAGTGATACAAATGAAGCTCTTTTAGGAATTGACAAAAACTTGTGGACTCTGGTCACCGGTTGTATAAATTATGTTTAAATTTATATATTTAAAGTTACATTTTCATTATAATTAACGCTTTACTCTATCCTAATTCTTAGAAAATAAACAATATATTTATTCAAGTAATATACTTTTTTTATTATATCATAATTAATATTCATTGTATTAGTTCTATAAAATTTAACTGCCAACTATAATTTAGGCCAAATAACGGGTATCATCCGTCTAACATCTGATGGTTCTAGCTATTATCTTTCTCTTAGCTCATTTGATCAACAAAAATTTAATGAACAAATGGCCACCGACCTTTCTTATATAATTCCTGTTGAAGACAATAGATTAACACCCATAAATGGATTCGAAAAAGACATTTCTACAGGAACTTTGCTAATATTACTTTTTTTTAACATTAAGGACACTTCAGATTTGTCAAAGAAGAGCGCATCTAATATATCTCAAGATTTCAACACTTTGTTGAAATATAAGGAATATAGTGCCTTAATGAACTACAACACGACATCATTAATTGATGAGCGTTATCCCATGACTATTGCTCGTAAGTTTGCAATTTTTTTTCTTTTGGTTTAATTAAGATTTCTTATTTCAAATTTTCTTTTTATAAAGCATTATTTTTGAGAGATTATTTGGTGTTGATTATAATTATTATTATTGTGCTGATAATCTTAATCATATCATATTTTTTGGCTTCAAGGAAGTTTAAAGAGGTATTTTTATTTTATTTTATTTTATTTTATTTTCAAAATTAAATTATTGAGTTTATTAAAATCATAAACTAAATTTATTAAAATCATAAACTAAATTTATTAAAATCATAAATTAAATTTATTAAAATCATAAATTAAATTTATTAAAATCATAAATTAAATTTACTATTTAGGCTGACAATTTCACAATATTCAAATCGATTATTATTGCTGCTGATTTGGGATTACGAGTTTCATTCGTCGTTAATGATGCTCGTAAAGTTCCAGAGTTATGGTTGCCAAGGTTCATTATTATTTTTTTATGCGGTATTCTTATTTAACTGTTAATACATTTCATGTTTTATAACCAATTTAACTTTCTTTTTTTTTCTACTTGCCTCAGTTTGGTAGTCCTCATATTTTCGATCTCTATCAACATTATAGCATCATTCTTGATTATTATTTATGAAATTGGCAAAAATCCAAAATTTAGCAAATGGTTCTCAGAATACGGATTTATTCTTCCATTTTTCACAATCATACCAGCGGGACACATTGAAACTCTGTATGTTTTGTCCTCGAAATTTGGATTGTTGAAGATATTTAGCACAACTTTCTCAAAGACTGTAAAAAATGCAATATTTTGGGTTGGAATATTAGGTTTGATTTTTGGTATTCCACAATTCATAATTCAGGTTAGTATTTTATTGAATAAAAAAATGAAATGATTTTTAATTTTATACAGTACTCCAACTAATTTAACGCTGGCTTTATTATTCAAAAAATCAGATATTATTTAAATTAAGAACAATATCTTTCAATATTATTCCACAATTAACCTTAATATCAAATGCAATTATGATAGCATATAACATTCTTTCAGGGATTTATAAAGTGGTATTTCAATGTTTGTAAAAATAACAATATTTAAGAATTGATGAAAACTTAGCCAAATAATATAATAATCTTTGCTATCAGCAAGTCTGACACTACGTATAGTGGTTTTTTTAAAAAATTATTATTATTATTATTATTATTATTATTATTATTATTATTATTATTATTATTATTATTATTATTATTATTATTATGTGCATTATTTGCGTGTTTATTAATAAATCTGTTTAATTATTATTATACATGAATCATTTTTCATTTACATATTTTACGATCTGAAATATTATATGCCAGTACACGAATGATTGATTTTATTGTTAATTAAAATATTTATTTGAATTTATTATTTCAGTTAATTAATTATTATATAAAATTATATAGCTAAATAATTTGAATCGCATTAATACTAAGATCGTGTGTCTTATCTAAGCCATGCTAACATACGTATGTATGTACGTTGTGAAGCAGGGTTGGCAATGGACGATGTCCATTGAAAATAATTTTGTCAATGACCAATCTCATAATCCATTGATACATTGGTCCATTAGTCCATTAGCATAAGTCAGAATAAGATCAGCACCAAAAAAAAATGCCGAATATCACGTGTATAGTATTTGTAACCTCATTTATAAAAGCTATATAATTATTTTACCTACTTGTCCATTGGTCCATTGGAACAGTAACCGTCCAATGGAACCAATAGAACTGGCCAATGGACTTGGGGTCCATTCATACCAATGGGCAGATGTGCCAATCCTGTCCCGGGAGTCCACAAATCATAATTTTCTTTTTTTTCCTATTTTTATTATTATTAGTATTAATTATTGTATTTTACTATTACTACGAAAGTTAAAAATAGAGTTTTTTTTTCATACATGCATACAAATTTGTACCTTGGTTCAAATTCGTATCCACCTACAATTAGAAACTAAAAGATAGAGTAAGATAGTAAAAATTAGTAAAACACAGCCATTATGTACGCAGTAAAGATATTTAAGCTCAAAATAAAGGATAACTCAATCGAATTCTTGACTTCGAAATCGTAGAAGTTGGTTATCTAGTAGTTACTTCCCTTGACTCTAAAAATTCATAATAAAACTGTTGTCGCATTTTCTTGTCCCTGTGACCCCGCCGTGTTCAAATTATCGATTTTGAGAGAAATAAATTAAACTCCATCATTATTACTATTGTTCTACGCTTACGTCGATCAATCGAATATTAAATTTTCGAGACACGCGACCCCGAAATAAGAGATAAATAAACCGAAAAGCAAGAGAAAAAAAATAGAACTGTTAGTGCTAGAATTAGACGACATAAGTTAAGTAAACTCTCAATACAAGTAAAAGAAGACCTATTTTGATCTGGGTGTCGTCGCTAAAAGGCCCAAACTCTAAAAGACCCGGACCAAATCTTACCACGCCTCAATCGACGCCTTACATTTGTAGAGTTTCTGTCTTGTTGTGCATTGTAGATTGTTGTATTTGTTGGGTTAGATTAGGTTATTTAGCCACCGCTTTATCTGTCGCTACGCTCACAACGTATGTACACGTACATACATTTGTTGTAATATGAATTATGGAATAAAGTTTAATATATGCATAAGGTATAAACTATGGATTATCGTACAGTTAGGAATCGTTATTTTGATTGGTAAATGACAAATGCACTTATAAATTGTGTGCAATTTACATGATAGACTCGCACGAGTTTCAGAATATTCATTAATACGGAAGTTATCAATATATTTTTTATACGTATTAAGAACGCAGAAAGCGTTGAATTGGAACAGGTTAATTAGCAATGAAACGCCAAAATTGAATACTTTAATAGAAGTTAACAGTGTTCTTTGTGAAAGTTCTAATTTTGGAATATATTCCAGACAGTCTCATATCGTTATAGTTCTACCTATAAAACTTTTATTCTATAAAAATCCATATTTTCTAATGATTTATTTATTTGTTCACAGAATGCATGCAATTCCTTTAATAAAAATATCAGATAAACAGTTTCATTGAATGTTTGACGCATTGTAATGTTTAAAAGACAAAGGATCATAAGTTTGATTCCAATTGGAGAGATTTAGGTGTTAACTAGTAAAGCAGACATTAGTTTGTCATTGCATTATTTTCTATTTAAACGCTAAAGAATTACATTGCAAGCATTTTTCTTTAACTCAATCACTATATAGCATTGCTGAAATTTTTATTTCTTTAAAATCGACTTGCACTCCTAATCAATTCAATTAATCTCTCTTGGAAATTATTATGGAGCTACGTGCACACATCATTTTGCTTATCATAATCTTCATCTATTCAACATCCTTTGCAGTCTCTGCAGTCAATAACGTCCATAAGAAACCTCGTAAAACAATGAAGATGACTTCTACATTCTCGCCTGTTAAAGCGCCTGTTATATCACCTGTTATATCACCTGGTAAGAAATAATGTTTCTCATGTTCTAGCAATTTATAGTGACCTTGAAGGATTTTCTAATTTTTCCTTTTTTCCTGATTAGAGTCAAATCCATCACCTTGTCCTCCTTTTTGTTCTCATAATAATGCGACATCTCAAGATTGACTAGGTTAACTTTTGTTAACTGTCATAGATGTCAATTTTTAGCATCATGAAAATTTTTTCGCCAGAAAAATCTATTATTAAACATCATTCTTAGTTTTAATAAAAGTTAATTATCGTGCAAGAATAACAATATTATTTATGTTATTCACATTTATGAATTTATTTTGTGATTTATCAAATGAATGTATTTAATACTAAATTTGTGCAGGAATACAGCTAACATAAAGTAATTATTTCTTCAAATTTGTAACATGTCGCTTAAAAACATTATAAATTCTTTAAAATAAATATATAAAAATAGAAATAAAAAATTTATTATAACCAATAGTAACAAAATAAAATAAATTTTGAACTATACTCTTTTATGTTATTGAGCATTTAATTATGTTACTTTACTTTTTAAAAAATTTAGATACAACAATCATTATTTAGAATATTTTTCCTTATCATTCTTGATTCAGAGTATAAGGTTAATTAGCCATAAAAATAAATTAATAGTAGCACTAATTTAAATATATTAAAAATACTAAGGGTGTCTCTTTCTATATGATTGCCGATGATCGAGATTGTGCTAAAAATTCATGCTGTAAAATGCGAATATAAATTTTAACAAATCAACACAACTCTATGATAAAAAAAGATGGTCAGAAACCATCTTTTTTTTCATCGCGATAATGAACTCACTTGATCGGCTAAACTATATTCCACTAATTAAAAATCTAGCTCCGACCTATGAATTTAAGATGCATATGATTATAATAGCTGGTAAATAAGTATTTGCAAAATAATAACACTTGATAAAATATTTCACCATATCACTTGTCCAATAAAATTCTTGATAACTATGAAACTTCCAATGATCAAATAAATATTGTAAAGTGATAGGTTTTCTTTCATTGAGCTCCTTTATAATAAACTCTGAACCTTTGATTGTTTTCGAATGCTATTTCATTGTAACAAAGTCTTTTTTTTATTAGTTTCTCAATAAACCAATTGGATACTTTTTCGGGTAATGTCGGGTAAATGCGTCAATAGAGAAAATTGAAAATTGAGCCAATGTATATAGCAGAAAAAATTTACGGTTTATTATTGTGAAGAAAATAATGATATTTATATGCTTACCAATCGTCACCGGTTTCGTTATTCATCATTTGTCTTAAGTCTCACTATTCATCAATTCATCCTATTCATCAATTCACCCACTCATCCTATTCATCAGAAATTGCTTGACGAAACATTACGTCATTCATCAATGGCGAATGGCGAATGACGAATGACAATCTTCAATAATTTCGTATTATTAGATAAATCTAGTTAGTTCAAATTAAGGATAGGCAATGTAATTATAGTAATCGTACATATAAAAATTACCCATTCCTAATTCAAATAAACGGTTAAAAATTTAAAGTTCGATAATTAATTGCCTCATCTGTTTATATTCGGATAAACAGATGATCAGACTTAACCACTATAATCTTGGTTTTGCGATTCTCTGCAATTTGACATTCTACACATTTAGAATATTCGAATATGCAATAGTTGACTTTCATTGATGCAGTCCAGCAGTCTAAACAAACCAGTATTCAATTAAGGGATTTTTAAATTACTATACGTATGTACGTACGAATTTAAAAAACGTTACAAATATTCCACATTGAGATCGATGTTACTATCCAGTTTGGGCAGTGATGGTAAATGACCTAAAATGACCCAATGACCTAGGTGACAAATGACTAGTCATTGGTCGTTTCGAGATCCAAATGGCTTAGAATGTCATTTAACATATGTCAATTGATATTCTATCGCCCTTTAGCCAATCAAAATTTACCGCCTAACAAAATTAAAATATAATCGATAATCGCAGCTATATATTAAAGTCTAAAGTTTTATAAGTCAATTAATATTTATATCTTAAATAAAGTTGTCCGAAATAATAAAT